CGTTGAGTGCGTTGGGTGTTGGGACGTAGCTCTCTCTTTTCTCTTTTTTATTTGGGTGAGTTTCGGCCTCTGTTGCGAAGTTGGAATATCAAGCTGATTGCGCGTTGCTTGGTGTAGTGCTCTTTGTGTTCATCCTGTCTCGGCCTCGGCTCGTCAAACGCTCATGCTCGCTGTTCTGAATATGCTGCTCTGATCTCCTCTGCCCATATACACCTACACCTACAGATACCGCACCCTTCAGCTTCACCAAATCTAATCAGTCTATACACTCCCATGCTTGCTTCTTCCCGGCCCTCTTGTACCCTCCCACACCCACCCACGCCCAACCCTTCCAGTCCCGCGTTCTCATCTCGTCTCAAGATCTCAAGTCGTAATGCTCTTCATTCATTTCCCTACTCCTCACGCAAACGCTGAATACGGACTGTGCTTGTACGGATATCCAGAACATATATATGATACTAATTTCCTGTGTAAACCGTATGGCAGGGTCGGAGTTGGACTGTGGAAACTGTGCCCGTGGGGGATGACTGGCACGGTGCCCGAAGCCGCCTGCCGCGCGCCCACGCACGCGTCATGGTGTTGGACCCCAACGCCGACGGTTCTCATAAAGAAATGGCTTTTGGTTTCGAACGACGACTACGACAGTATCTTTTGCATCAGCGCTCTTGGAGCTGGGATCAGGGCGCGCTGCGGGGGCCACACGACCGAAACGAACGTTCGTGCCACCTGATATAGCCTCGGATACAGCAACATGCGCGCGGGACTTCTGGTGCAGCTATATACGGCGCGGGCGCGGTGCGGGCGTCTGCCTTATCCGTCTGCTTTGCGGCCTACGAGGAGCGTGCTGCTCACGCTGTCGAGGATGCCGCCGGATATGATCGAGCTTTCTAATTCGGCCAGGGAACATTCGGGCAAGGCGCACCCGCCACATCCACAGCCACAGCCGTTGTCGCAGCCGCCTACGCCGGGAAATTCGGCGCAGGGTTTGCATTCGCATGGACATGATCACGAGCATGGGCATGGGCACAGTCATGGAGTGCTTGGACATTCGCATGCGCATGGGGAGGAGGACGGGCATGGGTTGGAGCTCATCGAGACGCTCGAGGCCGGAGGTACGTTCACACGATCAACTATACGGCGAGTAAAGTGCTCATACACGAAAGGATAGGGGACAAAGGACAGCGAATAACTATCATCGGGCTCGTGGCCAATATCATCCTCACTACCGCAAAAGGGCTCGCGGGATGGTTCATGAACTCTGCAGCTTTACTCGCTGAGGCGGGTCACTCC